TTTTCTGACGAGTCGCCAAAGCAGCATGTGATCTGGCATTATCATCGGTAGCCATGTTTTCGCGATCGCGTCTCACTTAATAACGACATGAGACATCTTTGTTTCAGTTTATTTAGGAGAGTACATGCGTGTAAATGCAACGATAAAGAGAGATAGTCGTATACTACTGTGATCAAAAAGTAAGGTGAATTTGTTTATAAAATGTAAATTCTTTATTTATTCTTCCAAATCAATTTCGTCCCCTTAAAAGTAATCCCCGTCCGATAAAACGCACTGTTTCCGACGCTCTTNTAAAATGTAAATTCTTTATTTATTCTTCCAAATCAATTTCGTCCCCTTAAAAGTAATCCCCGTCCGATAAAACGCACTGTTTCCGACGCTCTTTCCAGTCCTCGAAACAGTCGGAATAGTCTTTTTCCGGTATAGCCTTCAAGACCTTCTTCGATTCGGTTTTTATCTCCTCAATCGTGTCAAAACGGCGTCCCCGCATTGGCTTTTTGAGTTTGCTGAATAACCAGAAGTCGCACGGAGCCAAATCAGGCGAATACGGTGGTTGCGGAACGATATGAGTCGAGTTTTTGGCAAAAAAGTCGCGAAGAACCAATGCAGTATGACATGGCACCAATCGAGACTTGACGCGTTTGAGACACAAAACATCCTTCAAAATGGTTTCGACTGAGCCAAATGATATTCCAACACTATCAGCGAGGTCTCTTAATGTCAATCGACGATTTTCAAGCACCAAATCTTCGATTTTTTGGACGTGGCCCTCGTCGGTAGACGTTGATGGTCGTCCAGAGCGCGGTTCGTCTTCAACGCGTTCTCGGCCCGCTTTGAACTCGTTGTACCACTTATAAACATTTTTTTTGCCATAGTTTGATCACCAAAGGCCTTCCGCAACATTTTCAACGTGTCCGCACAAGAATATTCGTTCCGCAAACAAAATTTGATGCAAGTTCTTTGCTCAACAAAATCACCCATTGTAAAAATCGAAAAATTCACTTTTGGTCGTTTACTAAAACAGGTGTAACTCGGAAATAATTAAACCTTTTAACAAACAGACGCTTGGCATTTGTTATAGACAGTCCTACCAACCTAGGAAAAAAACAATTGCCTGCCTTCCTAATGTCCGGGAGTTTTAAATGACAATTTCACCTTACTTTTTGATCACAGTAGTATGTCTCAAATCAACATGTGCATATGGATTGAAACTTGAAGTGACACTATCGGACAGAACTTTCCGGTAAACCTAATATTTTCGAAGAAATCTAGAAATTGATTTGAAAGTCTAATTCTCAGACAGGTAGAACTCACGCGCCTCATTACGTCGGTGATATCGTAATCGCTGAACTGTGCCAGAATCTGATCGATCCGTGTCGTTCGATTCAGCTTGGTGTAGGAATCGGAATCGTAGAGGTCGCCCAGCTGCGCGATCAGTTCGAAAATTTCGTCGGCGGACAGCCGGGAGACGTTCCGCTGGGAACTGAAATGCAAACGCAGTTTTAAACTTTCAATAATCCCGACTGTTCTAAGCTCGATCGCAAAACACGCGGCATGGTCGTCGCGGCGACGAGACACGGGAGACGGAACCAAAGGGGGGAAGAACCTGATCGTAAAGTCCGCGGCAGAACGGAAAGCGAGACTGTGTTTCGAAAAACCGAAAGATAACGATGCGAGCGCGCTATGAAATTCCGCGGCGGACTGCGGCGCGGAACGATGAGATCCGCTGACGGAAACCGCGATCGAAGGTTCGAATAAACTTCGGCCAGAGATTATATTAAAAGATTCCGGGAATCTGACGCGCATCATTCGCTACGCTGAAATATTTATGGACACGTTGCTGCGATCCATCCGGATTATGATATTAATGTTGCGCGCGTCGGAATTAATTAAACTCGTGATCGGACATGCTTAATCTTCCTGATTTAACATTTATGGAAATCTTCGCCGATTTCAGGCTAATGAGGACGGAACATTTTCGGAGAACGTACAAAGTTATTCACGGAATATACAAATCTTGGGGATGATCGCGATGTTTAACAGATTCTGATAGAGTTGTTCGATTTTATTACGGATTAATTATTTCGAGCAGAAACTTTTCCGTCAAGTTGTTCCATGTCGCATGTTGAATGTTCACTATTCACTGCCCTTCGTGCAGAAACGAACGAAGAACTTATCTATCTAAGAAATCCATCGATACGAAGAATGAGAGATAATTAACCAGTTAGCTGTTTTCGACGAGCACACTCGTCGCGATGAAATGGCAATATTTTCTGTTACGACGAGTATACTCGTTATGCGTAAAAATTTGTCGTTGAAATTACCATTTCAATGAAAAGTGAAAAATATTTACAAATTGGAGATGTTTCGAATATTCGGAGACTAAGACGATACAGAGCGAAAAAATAAAAGAATAAAAATAATTATTAGGGAAAAAACTATATATAGTGTAAACAAAGTACAGTGGAACCTCATATAGTTTTTTCCCTAATAATTATTTATAGTTTTTTATTTGTTCGCTCTGTATCGTCTTGGTCTCCGAATATTCGAAACATCTCCAATTTGTTAATATATATATATATATCCAGTCTAATCAATCTGATACGAATGTTCAGGTAATAGAAAAGTTGCTTCGTTAATGTGTCCGTTGTCATCTTTATTGATTTGTACGATAAAATATGATATATATTGATTGTGCCAATTACAAGGTAAAAGGTATTCCGATAACAGATGATTCTGATATTGGAGCACCGGATAATCGAGATTCTACTGTACCATACTTCGTTAATCATCGCTAGATCGCTGCTCTTCGCGACACGTTTCAGCTGCACATTTATTCAAAGAGGTCGCAACAGCCGACTAATTAAACTACGGATCTTCGTGCACGTTTCACTGCGTTTCAAACGAAACGAGACTCTGATTAAACATTTTGAAGTATCCGACCGTGTTGACCATGCTACGAGTTTATCGCGTCCGTAGACCAGCGACAATCACGAATTTCTACCGGACTGAAACGGTGACGGAAGATCCGACAAGTTCCCGGAGCAATTTCCCGTTTTTCCGTCACTACAATTCCGGGGAAATTCGCAGCTCGAGTAACTATAATGTCAGCACGGGACGACACTCCGGACAATGTCCGCAGTAATGACAGAGGTATTTGTTTGCGAGAGGTCGAGTCCGGGTCGAAGTAGCAGTATGGTCAGCGGGCGATACAACGTCAACCGCAATCGAAATTATCCATGCAGTGCAAATTGGTGTTGTCCAATGAACCGACGCTCTAACCACCGTTCCCTGCCACGCGCCTAATCGTGCACTTTTCCCATGCCCGCGACCGCGAGTCACACTCCTCGCGAATTGCAGACCGGTTGCTCGCTTAAATACTAGGAGTTGGCGATATTTCGGGTCCGGGTCGGGTCGGATATTTTTCTCGGGTCCCAGTCGAGTCCCAAAAATTTGTAATACTCGGATGCCCGACATTTCGGACTCGGATTGGCTCGGGTATTATTCTCGGGCCCGGGTCGGGTCTCGAAAGCTTATTGTTTCGCACTGAACTAGGCAGAGTTTGCCAGCGATTAGGAAAAGGAACGGATAATATTCACCGTTGTCGATCGAACCGCGCCTTCGATCGCGGTTGAAAGTCGCGTGCACATCGACATCGCGGGCCGCGACTCGGCCCGAACACTTGTGATGCTCGGGTACTTGATATTTCGGGTTCGGGTCGGGTTGGATATTTTTTTCGGGTCCCAGTCGAGTCCCAAAAATTTGTAATACTCGGATGCCCGACATTTCGGACTCGGATTGGCTCGGGTATTATTCTCGGGCCCGGGTCGGGTCTCGAAAGCTTATTGTTTCGCACTGAACTAGGCAGAGTTTGCCAGCGATTAGGAAAAGGAACGGATAATATTCACCGTTGTCGATCGAACCGCGCCTTCGATCGCGGTTGAAAGTCGCGTGCACATCGACATCGCGGGCCGCGACTCGGCCCGAACACTTGTGATGCTCGGGTACTTGATATTTCGGGTTCGGGTCGGGATGGATATTTTTTTCGGGTTCGGGTCGAGTCTCGATAGTTTGCGAAAATTTCCGAAATTTTCGGATACCCGAGTATCAGAAGCTTTTTATTTAATAACTTTCGGGCGAGAGAGAGAGAGAGAATTGCTCACAGTTCGTAGGCCAGTTCCTTGGCGGCCTGACGGCTGATTCGATTTATGCTGCAGATCGACACGCCTAGAAAAGAAGAGAAGCCGTAAGTGTGTGCGAGAGAGAAAGAGAAAGAGAGAGAGAGAGGGAGAGACGATAGAGAGACCTCGTTACGAAACGACGACGGCGTGGCGCGGTGTCAACGAAACTTCGGACACTTTAATCCCCGTGTAACAGTAACACTCTGTTAATTCCTCCGGGCTGCGTTTAATAACCCGATTCGAAATTAGCAAGGCATTAAAACCGATCTTCCGAAACCGGTGCAAATTTTCACGGTATATTCTCCTTCGAACCGGTTAATTAGGAAAGTTTCCCGGCAAGTGGCCATCGACGGTGAAGGGTCTAATTAAATGATCATTCGGCTCGAAAGTACAATTCCCGATGTAATTGGGAATCAATATTGTCTCCGACGTAATCTCGGGTGTCCGTCGGAGGATCGGTCGCGCAAGAATTTTCTCCGCGATCAACACCTTCGCATGCTAGTTTCTAATTACACAGTTTTCGCATTTGTGTGTCTTCGGCACTCGTTGTCGATAGTGCGAACAGAGAGCGAGACAGGATAATCTCTTCGAATAATAAATAGGTTAATAAATAGATTAGAATTAATAAATAGATTATACAATTTGCACGATCAGTTATAAATGGACTGCGGATTCTATGCGTGTTTTATGCGTTTATGACAAACAAAAAATATTGTTATAAATATCTTCATAACAATAAACGTATTCAGGAAGCAAATCATTTTCAATTTTGCACCAGTTTGTTAACAACGAAGAAAGGAAAGTTTTACTTTGCCCAAAGATCTGCAGTCTAGTTATAACTTGTATACTATTTTGTCTGGAAATTGCTCGACTTATGCTAGTTGCACGATCGCCGACGACATTTGCCACTCGTGTGTGAAACATAATAATAGACACAATAATCGATTTCTCTCGATTTCTCTGCTAACTATCCGATTAATGCCTGACATATTTTACTTATTTTACCCACCTTATCTATTCTGACTCGCAATTGACCTACAAGATTTATCACTGGCAAATATAATTATTCGTATGATCATTTAATTATAATTTTATATCATTTAATAAACTTCATTATTATATATTTATTATATTATATTATATTATTTAATAACTTGTTTTATCGCATGTAAAGATGTATGGTACTTCTCTCACTTCAGACCAATACCACCTGCTTCTCGCGATAATTTCTATGCTCACGATCCCGATACACCTCGAAACAGGTGAAAGAACGTTCGATATACCTGGAAAATCCAAATTCTGAGTCTCCACGTATTCCGTCTCCACAGTTTGCAAGCAAGGATTCTCCATAATTTCCAAGTATCCCGTCCAGATCGTATAGATCATGGCAGGCACGGTTATCACGTACAGCAGACCCCAAAACAATCTGAAACGAACGGAAGTTATAAAATACACCTCCGTTAACATCGTTAAAGGAACGTTTCCCGTGGTATTTCAATTTTGCATACAATTCCTAACGCTAGATTTTTGCGAAATGGTCACAATGCGCAACCTCTCGCAGTTATTTCGCCAACGTTCTGGCTCGAATTTGTAACGCAGCGAGCACGAAGTTACTCGATCATGGTCACGTGCGTCCAGCAAAATTACCTGTCGAACCATGACGTCCTCGCTTCGACGAAGTACCTGAACCCGGCCAGCTTCGTGTACTTGCAGTACAGCTTCGTGTATTTCACCAGCGTGTGCCAGAACAACGATTTTTTCACGCGTTTGCGCGGCGTGGCCCAGCCGCGGTGAACATCCGATCTCCATCGGCGTTCCTTTTTTCCATCGTAGTTTCGCATCTCATCGTCCCTTCGAGGTCTCCCGGCACTCTCTGTCGCTCACCGAGCAGCCTTCGTCAGAATTATACAGGGTGTCCCAAAAATGTCTCGCGATCCGGAAATGACGGGTTTCTCGGGTCATTCGAAACAACTTTTTCCTTTACAAAAATGTTCTCCGAGGCACCGTTAACGAGTTATTAACGAAAAACAGTGACCAATAAGAATCGAGTACGGCTGACGCGAGGTGGCCCAGCCAACCAGCGCGCGAAGCCCAGTTCCGCTCATTGGCTCGGCCGCCTCGCGCCAGCTGAGCCGGAATTCGACCGCTCGACCGCTGGCGCCGTTGGCTCGGCCGCCTCGCGCCAGCTGAGCTGGGATTCGACCGCTGGCGCCGTTGGCTCGGCCACCTCGCGGCAGCTGATCTCGCCTCTCATTGGTCACTGTTTTTCGTTAATAGCTCGTTAACGGTGCCTCGGAGAACATTTTTGTAAAGGAAAAAGTTGCTTCAAATGACCCGAGGAACCCGCCACTTTCGGATTGC